TCAATCTGTAGTATTATTATAGGGACATTGAGACATGGGAATGACAATGTTTATGATATATTCTAAACCATTTATTTATTTGGTTCATTTCATTTTTCTCTTAATAAATTTCATATGAACAAAATATAGCAATATAGCTTTTAGTAGTAATACTTTAATAACAATCAAATCCACAGTTGAAATATAAACATCTTCTCTGTCGTTTATAATTTTACATTTATGTTATTTGAATTTCACATTTTTCTAAGAATTTTTAATACTTAATGATTTAAACATATGACCATAATGAAACATTTTTATATTTTATTCAGAAATGTTGAATTACATTCTAAATGATTTTTCCTTTTAATCTTCCTATAGTGGTCAAAAAAAGAGAGTGAATTGAATATAATAATATAATTCTAGGATGGTATAGTCCCACTAATATAAAATACATTTGAAAGAAATATAAAGCAGTCAGAATTTCTATCATAAGTGTTACTAGTTGATTGAGCATTTTCAATACAGTGAGGTGTAAACGTGGAATGTCTAGATTTTTCTCTGATCACTACTCTTCTAGTTGTGCTATCTGAAATATCCCTTAACCACTGGGTAGCAGATATCTGAGATGGATTTTGCTACTTTGCAGTCTATTCTGGTTATTAAATGTTTGTGGCTGGGGGATTAGTATAAGTAAAGATGTTTCTTTCCTTCCTCTTTCCACTGTTTCATATATTCTGTGAACATTGCAATCCTAAAAGGCCTTGTCTTTACTTCTAATTTTAAAGAGTAGGAACCCCTGGATTGGTAGTGTGGCAAAGTAGTGTCTCCGAGATCACTTCTAAGTGAAGTCTATTAGCTTGGGTTGTTGTTGGCTCCTTTTAGAATATGGGTAACTGAATCCTCTTAGTCCTTAGTTTGGGAGTCTTGTTGATGGAGGGGCAATGGGGAAAGCCTGTCCAACAGGCAGATGCATAAGTATTTATTACCTTTTTTCTTCTAAGAAGAATGAAGAGTACTTTTGGGTGCTTTAAGGTGAGAAACTCACCCACATTACCTTTATCCTTCCTACAGTAACCCAAATCAAATCCAAGGGGAAAAGTGTTTATTTCTTTGGTATAATTAGTTTTATGCCAGGGAAAGTAAATTCAGCTGCATACTGAACTTAGAAATACTGGGATACTAATCAGGTATCTGTATACCTCATGAAGCTCTCTTTCTCAGTATTAAACATAGAATTCACTCACCAACACCAATTAGCTAAGTCTCCAACAATACCAGAGAATCCCAGAATATATTAATCTTGAAGTGATGCGATCAAGCCATTCATTTTCCTTTACCTGTTGTGACTTATCACTGACTGCATCTTTTGGCTTGGGGATTAAATTCTCAAATATGCTTCCCATCACTGCATCTTCCTTCACAGCAAACCTTACCCATTCCACTATTTTTAAAAATTACCATCTATCTAAATATAATAGAAGGGAAAGTTTTAAACTATTTAAAGAATTTATCTCCTTTATATCATGAATTTTAGATAATATTTCCTTCAAAAATTATATCAAAAAAATATTCAATTTTGAATTCTTGAAGGCAGAGAGAGAATATCCAATAACTAACTTGATTCATTCATATTGTTTCTGTTCATTCATCATGTCTATACTGATACACTGCACTTTGAGTCTTTACATCATAGCATTAATTTGTAAGTTAACGTTTTGGTTAAGACATTTATCCTCTTGAAGATGTATTTTGAGCTAAACTTCCATGGGGCTAGATTTTAATAGCACTTTTGTGTACTTCGGAATTGTTATAGAATATATAAATATATGCATAATTATTATCTGTGTAGAGACTCCTAAAAATTCCAATCTTGATTCTAATGATCACTTTTAAAGATAATTTTATGACATTAATATTTAAATAAAGTTTTCAATTTTAGATGTTAGTAAGAATAAAATAATAAAATGTTTGACAAAGGAAAAATATTTTTGCCAAAGAAAGAAGAGTCCTTTCTTCTTATTTATTTCTTGAAAATTGTATGTTCAAGATATTTTAATTCATTTTCAATGTCTCCACTTTATATGATAACCTGTAAATTTCTGTTAACATCTGCCAAGAGCATCGTAGGCCTTTGTGTCCATATTTTCAAAAAATCTTAAAATAACAGCAGTGAAATCATTTTAATCATACAACCAAAATGAGGTTTCGTTTCAATGGCAAATCAGAATGAAAATTCTTCAGCTTTAGAAGCTAATTTTGTAGATCTGTTTTTTAGAATAAAAAATAATGAATCAATAGCATGTGGCTTTGCCACCAAAACTGGTGGCAAGCTTACCATCAATTTAATTTGGGTTTGGTGGAGAGACATTATCAAACTAGATTTTCTAAGCCAATAGAATATCTGACAAAATGATGGAAGGCACTGACATCATTTTGATTACATAGGTAATCTTTAGTGATTTTTAATTTTTGAACCATTGTATATTATTTATGTCATTCTGGAGGTAAAATTAATGAATAATGCTTTATCCATTAGCGTGAATTTCTATATTGAATATGAACTGGAAATTCTTATAGCTCAAAGATACAAATTAAATGCTTTATCAATTATTGTACAGACTAAGCCACTGTAGAAAGAAAATACTCGAAAATATAGTGGCTTAAACATATCAGGTAAGAGTCTAGAAGTAGGTGGTCTGAATCTAATACGGCAGCTCCACATCGATACACAGCTTCCATTTCTTGGTCTGAGGCTCTACTGTCACTTTCTCTTAGCAAACGGGAAGGAAAAAATGGTCAAGGGAAGCCTATTTCCAATCCTTTAATTGGAAAGACCCAGTAATGTGACAGTTCACTTTTGTTTACATTCCAGTGGACGCTACTTAAACGCAGGGCTATAGCTAACTCTAAGTGAAGCTGGAGCTCAGTCTTTGTTATCAAGCACGGCAACTGGCTGATCCCCACAACGGCCAACAAAAACTGCTGAATTGTACCCTGATAGCTCTCTTTTTGATATTTCCCATTACAGGCAAAATATCTCACTCCAACAATTATAGTGCCAATTTTGTATTTTGTTGTTTGAAACATGTAGATAACTTAATACAATTTTTAGAGCATTTTTGCATGTATTCCTACATGCCAACCTCTGTAACTTTCTTTACCTGATGTTGTCCTATACAAATTAAGATAGAAAGTGTCATTCCAGTCATGAACCTAGCACACAGATGGGATATACTGATGCAATGGGAATGCGTATAGTGGAGTAAATATTATGTTATTATGTTCTGTAACTTTTCAATGTTACTGTAGGTACAGGATTTTCTTTGAAGGCACAGTTCACAATTAAATATGATCAATTGTTAGAAATTCTTCTGTCTTTATCTCTCACACATCTATTCACACATCCATGGCATTGTTTAAATATCTCTTGGAATTCCATTTCCTGGCTTAAAACTCTCTTTGAGTGTCCTAGTCCAGCACTGTCCAATACTTTCTGTGAAGACAGAAATGTTCTAGAACTGTACTCTCCAGTATGGCAGCTATTGACGCTTTTGAGCACTTGTCATGTGATAGTGTGACTAAAGAGCTGAATTTTAAACTTTTTTTCGTTTTAATGAATTTAAATTTAAAGAAACCCATATGGCCAGCAGTTGCCATATTAGACAGCACAATTAGTCGCTCTCTGCTCCATCTACAAATTTATTTCTGCCACATCTATTTTACTTCATAATATTGCTCCTGAAATGTCTTCAAATGAATTTAACTACTCAACATTTATTATGTGGTGTTTTATTCTTTGGGTAAGAAATTCTGTATTTTCCGTCTGACTTTAGCTTTAAATAGTCTAATAATAACTATGTAATATTTACTAGACACAATATGTCAGGCACTGTTCTGAACACTTTATACATAATATATCACTTCATTATCATAGGAAACTTACATTATAATTGTCACCATTTTATAGATGTATAAACTGACACAACCACGGGTTAATTAATTTTTTCCTAAGATCAAATAGCTAGTAAATGGCTGAGCTAGGTTGTAAACCCCAGGCAACTGGCTTCAAATCTCAGACTCTCCCACCATTCTTTACTCTTTCAATGTTCTGGACAGTGAGGTTTTTCATAAGTAGCAATCTTTTTTCAAAAGGCATCACAGTTGGGGCCTTTCTAAGACCTTTATTTGTGTATGCATAATATTGCAAACTATTGCCTCTGGCAAGAGGTAAGAGGAAAGAGCAGACAGTTTCTCTTTTTCTGTCCTGTCACAATTCACTGAGCAGCAACTATGTTTGTAAAAAGATCATCCAAAATGTTCCCTAACTATCTTTACTAACTTGGCACTGGGATCTTATTTTATTGGAATGATACTAAATAAATTAGTAAATGTACATGATTATGAACAGGTGCTGTGTGTTTGCTCCTATCACTGTGAAAGATTATTGAAATTTTTTTCTTGGTACTCTAACAGAAAGAATTTTAAAGTAGTCAGGATTGATTATTTTCAAAGGGCTATAATGTTCCGATTTAAGTCCAGTCAATCACTTGCAAGTTAAAATTACTTAGAAGTGTACTGTCCATAATTAAGTAATCTTACCTACTTAGATTACAGAACAAGGATACCTTTAGGTGACATGAGATCTGTCATTTTAAGTATGCCCCCAAGCCTTTTCCAGATTGCTCATAAGATTTCTCATTCTCTAGAGAAATGCAATCTCTAAGAAATAAATGTTCTCTGTCAAGTCACAAGTAATATAAGCACTTGATGAAAAAATGGAATTTTTTAGTCTCATAAGGGATATTGCAGTATTGTAAAATTGATTTTATTCCTTGTTATTTAAGTTCTCATGGTCATTTTAGGATTTACCTTCTGGATATAAAGGGAAGGTTATGATGCTTTTGAGGGAGCTGGGGGACAGAGGCCTTTGGGAACCTGGAGAATATTTTTCATATGAAATTCTTTGTCATAAAATGCTAATGTTGGTGTTCTTGTCTTTATGTCTATGCATTCTTTAGCTATGAGGATAACAGACCCTTCATCAAGTAAGAATGACCTGAATGGCTGATAAATTCCATTTATCAGTGTGGTCCCATGAACCAGCTGTCAGATCAGTCCTGAGAAATCATTAGAGCTTCTGTCATTCACATTGAGGCAGAAGAGCAAACTGTGCAGGAAAATAATCAGGCATACAACTTCTGTGCAGAGTAAATATGCTGCAAGTGTATTGCCAAAAAAATTCTGCTTCACCTCTTTTAATTGGATATCACCTGAACTCAGTGCCACAGTAATAGCAACTTCATGTAGTACAGACTTGTTTCGCTTTTAATTGTTTTCTCCTTTCATTGTGCTGTGTTCCTCTGTGCTGCGTAGGTCCTCGTTTCTCTTGTTTGTTTGGACACGATTCATCTAAAATTATTTTGCGATTTAGTGGTATATCTTCAAAATGATCTTATGGGTATGAAACTACCCAATTGCAATTGATATTAATGAATTTCTATATTAAATAACCAAAAAGGGGAAAAAATGCCTCCTTCAAAAATTAAAGTTTACTTCTGCAAAATTATCTCTTTCAAATTTGACATGTCATGTGATTAATGATCTCATTCTTTATGAATACATCTCTTAAATTTTTGAAACAAAGCTACAAGTCTGTACTAATCTAATAAGAATAAACATAATGTTAATATTTGTGTTTTTCCTTTGTACGTTTTAAAATTACATGTCCTGCAACAATAAACTTAAGATTGGAAACCTACGGGTGACCTTGCTCCAGACTTTCAGTTTGTTCTTCTGGTGAAGAGTCCTTTGTTTTCATTTTCTCCAATTCCATTTCACATACTTCTTCATGCTCTTGCTTATTTTTTTCTTTAGAAATTGGGCTCATTGCAGTTTTATATCAGTAACTCTTGGGCCCCTCATGTGTTTTCTAGTGGATAATAGGTGACTTGAGTATTTTATCTTATCATTTTATTTCTAAGTAGCAATCTTGCCTTGATTTAATGACAATTCTTCCCATTTTTCCTTTTTCCAATGTCTGTAAGAAGCTGAGAGCTTTCCCTTGAAAGTTCTCATATTTCTGAATCTAATTGTAGAATAAAATATCACATCTAAGATGTTTTCTAATTCCTATAAGCAAACATGCTCGCTACAAGAGCAGGCCTTCTTTAGGGATTCTTTATTCAAGAAAATGCTCTAAACATTAAATTTAGTAGATATTTAAATCTGAAATATAATGGCTGATGTTTGTAGAAGAAAAATAGTAAATATTTGAGATTAATTTTGCTAAGGCTTTAATAATAATTGACTTCTTTTGGGACCATATCTTTTTTAAGATGGAGTTCTCTCTGAAAACTTTATTTAACCCAGCTTCAGATTATGGTAAACATACGTGATTTTTTTTCCCCTTTGTGTTGCAAAGTTTTAATCCCTATAAATATTTCTTCCTTAGACAATGTAAATGGAGGATAATAGTCTGCTGAAAAGAAATAGTAGCTTACCCTGTTCAAGGAAGGTGTGCTGAGAAAGGAAAGAGTGGATTCCTGAGTGTATAGAGATCTAGACTGGGTTGGTCCTATTCTCCTCTATACTTAGAAGTTGAGAAGGATTCCATTTTCAATTATTGGATTCCCATCTATTGGAAAGATTTGTTCTTTGTTGATAGTAAATATGTAACACATAGCCACAAATATATGAAGTTTTGTCACCTGTTTATTACTATTGCGAATGGCAGCTTGGTGGACGCTAAGGGAATGGAGTGAGAGTGAGAATTTGTCTTCCATTCTAGACTACTTTGTTCATACCACTCCATCCCCATTCTCAGCTTCATTTTCTCCCTTGAGTTTATAGACACTTCAAAGAGATAAAGATTCCACGAGACTTTAAGCTTCTTTTCAACAAAGCTGCCAATTGCCTGATTTTCAAAGTCTAGTCCAACATAATCTAGAAGACAGCAATCAAAGGCTGAAAGAACATAAAGCATGATCTGGAATGGAACTATTTTTTCCATCCACTATATCTCACCTGTTCTACACAACCATAGAAGCAAACAAATAGAACTTTTAAAATTCATACATGTATTTCATATACTGGTTCCTTCTAATATGAGTTCTGTTTTTGTCAGTAAACACTGAAAATTTTATGGAGAAAAAGGAAATTTGGAAAAATGGGGTAAAAGTGTGTCAGATGAAGCACTAATACAGAGAGTCCAATTAAACAAATGTTATCATACTAATGAGACCAGTGGAGACTAACATAGCTTTATAGACTTTTCTCCCCCTTGCCATTCACCATAATTACATCTCCATATCATTTGCATATTTGCTGCAAATACATGAATAATTTAATAGTACAGATCTGCTTTTGCTTAAATGAATTTCTGTGTTCATAACATTTTCATCCGTGTATATCTCCTCAAGCTTGTAAACTTGTAGTCTCCATTAAAATCTTAAAGTACTTATACCACGTCTTACATTTTCTGTCAATAAAACTTACTGTAACATTCTTTTCAGTGTCAGTATTGTTGATATGATATTACTATGTTAATTAAAGACCAATTATTGGGTAACCTTTAATTTTCTCTTCTCTCTACAGGTCATGGGTTATAGGTGCAATAGCTCTTCTCTGCCTGTTAGGATTGACCTGGGCCTTTGGACTCATGTATATTAATGAAAGCACAGTCATCATGGCGTATCTCTTCACCATTTTCAATTCTCTACAGGGAATGTTTATATTCATTTTCCATTGTGTCCTACAAAAGAAGGTAAGCTAGAATTCTCTCTTCAGGAATAAATGGCGTACATCGCATGATAGCAAAGCAACCATAATGTAAATCATTCTTGATATGTTTGTCTCTAAGAAATAAATATATTAATGCATTGATTTTATTTTTATAATAGTAAAGGATGAAACAGACACAAAATACAAGCATAATAGTGGGTGAATGTATTTAATAGCAAAAACAGAAGCAAAGTATTTTCTGATTTAGACAATACACAAAAATTATATTCTTGTAGAATTCATCTTATAGTCTTTAATATTTTTATTGGCACACACATGGAATTTGTGTCTTAGGAAGTAGCTTTTCTAAGATATTATGGAGGCATGGAGATAGATATATCTCTCTATGTATCTATATCTATTGGCATGCCGTAGGAAATACATATTTTTCTATTTCTTTAAAAACTAGTTTCTATATACTAGAAAATATAAATGTCTAAACACTTTATGATAAAATAACATATTTCTGTTTTTTGAATGAATGATGGGGTACTTAGTCATGGTCTCTGTACTTCTTTTCTTTAAAAGCATCTTTTATTAAATCTATGAGTTGAATGATTAGAATGCAATATTTAATTTCTTTATATTGGCTTATTTTTGTGATTTTTCACATCAACCACAATAAAATATTTATTTTCAAAGTTAATTTTAACAACTAAATAATTTTATTGCATTTTTTTTAAATCTCAAGATTGATTTTCTCATCTTATACTCTTTAAATCTATTAAAGATGTGCTCCTTATAGTTCTGATCACATAGACCCCTGAGCCAAGACTGTCTGGGTTCGAATCCTAGTTCCTCCACTTAAAAGCTTGTTTGAGGGGCTGGCCCGGTGACACAGCGGTTGGGTTCACATATTCCTCTTTGACGGCCTGGGGTTCACCGGTTCGGATCCCAGGTGCGGACGTGGCACCGCTTGGCAGACCATGCTGTGGTAGGCATCCCACATATAAAATAGAGGAAGATGGGCACGGATATTAGCTCAGGGCCAGTCTTCCTCAGAAAAAAGAGGAGGATTGGCAGATGTTAGCTCAGGGCTAATCTTCCTTATAAAAAGCTTACGTGACTTTGGGTAAGTTCATTAACCTTCCCATGCCCCAGATTTCTCATGTGTAACATGGAGGTAATAATAATAATTATGAGATATTGAGAAATGGCTTTAAAAATGAAATGGCAAAAATGTGAATATTTTTCCTAAGAAGGAAACAACAAGATGTAAAATTTTTCTTTGGAAAACAAAGAAGATAAAGAGTAAAGATAGCTATGTTTGCGATATTTGGTTTGAGAGACTGATGGGATCTAAAACAAAAGTTGAGAAGAGTGTCCGCTTGTCAAGCTGAGTCTAATTTTATTCTGTTTCAATTTTATGTGGTGATAGGTATCAAAAATATATTGACATGATCATAAATACAGGCTAGAATAGTAATGATGACTCAGGCCTATAAATGCAGGTTACAGAAAAGAAAAGAGGGTATATTAGAATGAATAGGTTGTAACCTAATGGATTAGAATTAACTTAGAAAAGAGGTTATGTTAGAATGGATGAATGTTCCCAAATACTTAGTGCACACAACCCTCAAACTGCAGTTGCTTAACCTAATACATGTTTATTGTTTTCTCATGGCCCAGTTGATGGGGCTGCCCCATGGAGGGACACAGGCTGATGAAGCCTCAACCAACCTCAATATATGATTTCCACATCACCTTGGGTGTTAACATCCAGCAGGCAGTCTGAGAAAGAGAGAGAGGATCTTGTATAAGAGGTCTGGAAGTGGCTTATATCACTTCTACTCACCTTCCATCGGATAAGACGCTATCAATGGTACCACCTAAACTTCAAGAAAAACTGAGAAACGTCCAGCTTTTTACCCCAGGAAGATGAGGAATTGGATGTTGCAAACAGCTAGCAGTCTACCACGTTTGATGAGGGTAAAAAGTAGGAGACATGAATGATGAGTAAGAAGAGACATGGAAGGAAGGAAGTGTCTGAGGAGAATGAAAATCACGATGGTATAGTGAATGAAAGACAGGAGAAAATGTCCAAAAGTAGACAGTGGTCAGTATTGTAAAACACTTCAGAGAAGTCAGAAAGACTAGGCACTTGGGGAAAATTTCTAGATTTTGATAGAAGAGAGCTATCACTGAAGGTCAACAAAAATATATGTACAAAGATGGGAACTAAGTCAGGAAATTAAAGAAAATGGTAGCCTTGAGTCCAAATAACACTTTCACCACTATTAGCTCATCTCACCCTCAGGGTGTCCTCCCTGGGGAGCAGGAAGGGCCAAAATGTTCCCATTTGGCACATAAAGAAAGTGTGGCTCAGAGAAGGGGGCATGCCCATGGTCAACACCTGCTAGAACCCCATTCTCTTTGTGCTCTTCTGCCTTACGTAAATAAAGACATATTGGACCATCATAATAGGTTATAATATCCTCAATTATAGTGAACCAGATTTACTTATTATCTTTATATATTAGCTGAAAATGTGGACTAACAAAATTTAAAATTTTAATGTTAATGTAGAAATTTTCTACAGAGCAGAACAGATTTTTTGTACTTTATGCATAATTATTCTGGTTGTATTTTTTGTTAGCTAATACCTATTAGACTTTTCCCAATTATTATTTATATTTTTCTTATCTTACAAATACACATCACTGCTATAACTAGGAATTATATTTGATACCCAGGTAGAGATATTGAACTTCACAATCCAAAAACAAGTCTAGAGTTTTTAGTATATTTAACATATTTAGCATAAGTGAAATTTTTTTAAATATATGTCGTCAAGCTCAATTGTGTGATTTATTAGAACAGAATTCAGCAAACCACAGCTCATGGGCTAAATTTGTCCAGCTGCCTTTAATTTTTACAGCCAGTCAGCCAAAAATGGTTTTTACATTTTTAAATGATCACTTTAAAATTTAAAATAAGTGCATACACAGTATCCTTGGTTTTGCCTCTTGGCTCACAAAGCCTAAAATATTGACTGTCTGGTCTTTCATAAAAAAATTGCAAACATCTGATTTAGAAGCTTACTGTTATGGTTTATAATAACAAGTAATAAGCATATTGTTCTTTCATCCATTCTGTGTTTTGAGTTTTTCAATTTTGGTGGCATTTTTATTGGGTGTCAAAACCATGTCTCAATATCAGAGAATATAGAGAACATGGAATTATTGTTCACTTTTTTTTTCCTACAATAAAACCAAGTACTTCTCTTGGAAATTGCAAAAATCACCTTAGGAGATTTTTCTTTTATTCTTTTTAATAAATTGAGATATAACTTTGCATAAGTTTAAGGTGTTACTATATGTTGATTTGCTTCACTAATATATTGTGAAATGATTACCACTATAGTGTTAGCTAATACCTCCATCACATAATTATCATTTCTTTTTTGTGGTGAGAGCATTTAAGATCTCATCCCATAGCAACATTCAAGTGTACAATACAGTATTGTTAACTATAATCATCATCCTGTACATCAGATCCCCAGAACTTATTCATCTTATAGCTAGAAGTTTGTACCCTTTGACCAACATCTCCCTATTTCTCATACTCCCCAACCTCAGTTAACCACCATTCTGCTCTATTTCTATGAATTCGGCTTTTTTCAGAATCCACTTATTAGTGATATCACGCTAGTGATACTAGCATGTGACACTATCATGCTAATGATACTAGCATACTTATTGGTGATAGTATTTATCTTTGTCTGATTTATTTCACTTGGCATAATGCCCTCAAGTTCCATCCATGTTGTCGCAAATGGCAGGATTTCCTTCCTTCTTGTGACTGAATAATATTCCATTGTATACATGTACCACATCTTCTTTATTCATTCATCCATTGATGGACACTTTGATATTTCTATTTCTTGGCTATTGTGAATAATGCTGCAATGAGCATGGGAGTACAGATATCTCTTCGAGTTCCTGATTTCATTTCCTTTGGATATATGCCCCGAAGTGGGGTTGATGATATGGTAGTTTTATTTTCAATTTTGTGAGGAACCACTATGCTGTTTTCTATAATGACTGTACCAATTTACATTCCCACCAACAGTGCACAAGGCATCCCTTTTCTCCATATTCTCACCAGCGCTTGTTATCTCTTGTCTTCTTGATGACAGCCATTCTAACAGGTGTGAGGCGATATCTCATTGTGGCTTTTACTTATATTTCCGTGATTAGTGATGTTGAGCATCTTTTCATGTTGGCCATTTGTATGCCTCCTTAGGAAAGCTGTCTATTCATTTCCTCCATTTCCATCCATTTTTTAATTGAGCTATTTGGGTGGGGGGGGTTGCTGTTGAATTGTATGAGTTCCTTGTATATTTTGGATATATCAGAAATATGATATATCGGAAATATTACTTGCAAGTGTTTTCTTCCATTCTGTAGATTGCCTTTTCATTTTGTTGATTGTTTCTTTTACTGTGCAGAAGCTTTTTAGTTTGATGTAGTGCCACTTACTGTTTTTCACTTTTGTTGCTTATGCTTTTCATGTCATATCCAAAATTCATTTCCAAGACCAATGTCCAGGAGCTTTTCCTTTATGTTTTCTTATAGGGAATCTTATGATTTCTGGTCTTACATTTCAGTCTTTAGCTCATTTTGAGTTAAATTTTGTGAGTGGTGTAAGATATGGGTCCAATTTCATTCTTCTGCATGTGGTTAGCCAATTTTCCCAGCACCATTTGTTGAAGAGATTATCCTTTCCCCATTGAGTATTCTTGGTTCCCTTGTCAAATATTAGTTGACCACGTAAGGGTTTATTTCTGGACTCTCTATTCTGTGCCATTGGTCTATGTATCTATTTTCTTGCCAAGACCATACTGTTTTGATTACTTTAGCTTTATAGTGTAGTTTGAAATCAGGAAGTGTGATGCTTCCAGCTTTGTTCTTCTTTTTCAGGATTGCTTTAATTATTTGGGATCTTTTGTGGTTCTGTACACATTTTAGGGTTGTTTTTTCCTATGCCTGTGAAAAAATACCATTGGAATTTTGATAGAGGTTGCATTGAATTTATAGATGACTTTGGGTTGTATGGACATTTTAACAATCTTAATTCTTTTAGGAGGTTTTTCTTAAGCCATCTGATTGAATTTCAATAATATGACCATAATGTAGTTGCTCATATGTTTTGATTAGAGAATATGAAATATTCCATTTTTGAGATATTTTGGTTTATAGGGTTATTTGTTGATTAATTCAACTCATTAGCAGAAATCAAACTTTGAATTGTCAGTCCTTTTCTGGGTGTGGATTGAATGATTGTTTCACTAGTATTTCCACTGGTGACATTAAAGTTGTCACATTTTCTTTTGTTATGTGCTCAATTATGTGATACATCTCAGAGGGTTTCATAATTATTTTATTTCTGATAGAGAGTATAAAAGAAATACTCCATTGAAATAAGATATGTCTGATTGGGGTAAGATGGAGTATCATGTGAAAGAGTGGATTAGAATATGCACAAGATTGGGCAATCAAATAATTTTTATTGTAATCTAAGGAAAAATATCTCATACACATAATCCATGTTATTTTGCTTTCTCCTTTTTAAAACACATGCTTACCTTCTCAAATCTAATAAGAGAAAAATAAAGTCAGTAATGATTAAGTAAGTAATATAGCTAAATGTGCAATTTGGCATACTAGATATCTTGATTTGCTGGCTGTTTATATAATCGGTTCAGAACATTTAACCCCTGTTAGAAAATGTAAATAGTCCCTGATGAATACCTGTGTCTTATACAATATTGCTGCCTTTGTAACAGGAGGTGGAGTGGTTCTCTTTCTCTCTTCCTTCTGTCCCTCTCTCCCCTAAAATATTTGTTTAGATTTAAGTCACTTCAGGAAAAAACACTTTCTCTTCTAAAAAGAAAAATATCACTTGTTGAGTACATTAAGAAAAACAAAGTAGGATGTAGGTTATAATCAAAGTTTAGGTTCTTGGAGATGCTTCGTAAATTCAGTACAAATTACTAAACTGTAATAATAGTGTTTACCTTTGGGTAGAGCTTATTTTAAGCTTTCTCAAATTCTGATTAAAGCCTTTGTCATTATTTTTTCCAAATACAGAGAAAATAAACTAATAGATTAATAATAATGCTAATAATATATAATGGCTTCTGTTGATCATATAGTGATGTCAGAAATGTGGCATCTTAGGAAGAGCTTTCAGATCATAGAACACCCATGAGCTTTGGATTTTTTCACATAAGCCACATTGCTTAACCTTTGTAGTCTATCAGTTTACTTTCATTGCTTAACCTTTTTGGTGTTCTTACTGTAAAATGTAAGTAGTGATCATTTCGCAGAGTCTTTTTGAGGGAGCGCTTTAGCACAATTTCTGACAAATAGTGATTAAAAATTAGAAGTTTCTTCATTCCACCCTCCCAAACTCACACATATCAAGAACACATGCACAAGTAGGTAGACTTACTTCTTTTAAAAAATTAACAAAATGTGAATTGGCTTGTAAACACTGAGGAAAGGTAATTATTTCTAATTATTGATAAATGTAGCGTAGAAGTGAGTAGTTGGAGAACAGGTCAATATAATTTAAATATATTAAAGAATATGTTATTTTGGCATTCCAGATCAAAGAAAGGCCTCAAAGGTTAGCATATCATGCCTCTGTTTTGCTCATGCTGTCCTGAACATCTAGAATGCCTTTTTCTCTCTGGTCTACCCTTTCTTTCAACTTCATCCTCTAAACTGACTAATTCCAACCTATCTTTTAAAGATTCTCTGAGAAGTCCTCCTTGATTCCCCTACCTACTTCCAGCAGGCACTCCTTCTCCATGCTTTCATTCACCTGATTCTGTGTTAGTGTTCCTATCATATAACAAGCATTCAATAAATGTGAGTTCTTCAAACAAATCTGAAATATTCTATCTCTGTACTATATCTTTGATAGAGTGAACTTTACAATATTAAAATGTTTTAGTTTTGAACACTAATTTTAATGTCTCATTCACACTCCTTTTCTAAATAACATTCCTCAAAAAAGTATATATTTATGACTTTGTTTTAAGTAAAATTACCTTGGAATATTTCATTGTCACAAACTGTAGAAAGTACAAATTCATGTGAAATCAACACATAAAGAGCTGAGAATAACATATATACATGGTTATTTCATAATGAATATAAATTTGTGAATGTATAACAGATAAGATGTCCCAGAATGTATTTTTAGTTGATAAACACATTGTTGAGGGTTATTTTTGTTGATGTTGATAGTAGAAGAATGATTTAGGACAGTTACTGTTTATTTTTATATGTCTTGTTTGATTAAATGGGCAGTAATACAAATTTTAAACATGATAAAAGTTTTCCCAAAAATTGTTGATATATTTTCTTGCTTGAAAACATCAATGAAAAAGTTTATCTCCTTTTTTCTTGTGATTTTATACTACAACCAGGATTAAGAATTTAATCAGCAATGCCATAAAGAAAAACAATCATGTTTCTCTGTGATTATTGAATAGAACTATTTTGAGGGAATAAATTAAAGGCATTTTGAATTTTATATTCTAAACTTTCAAATTTGACCTCTTTTAAGAGAAATACACTTCAAAGAAATATAGATTTAAAAGAAATACTTACCCCAATACATTCCTTTTCTCTGCCTTTAAGTATTCTCTTTCTCTGTCTTTCTCACTCTCTCTCCTTCTCTCCCTCCCTTTTCCATCTCCTCTTCTCTCTGTAATTTCCTCCCTAGACTTCTGCCTAAAGAACCATTGCACCAATAGGCTACTTCATATCCGATTTGTGAAGCTAAAACTAAAGTCTTGAAGAGTCTTAAGTTTTTGTTCTTCGAACTAAGACATAGTATCGTTATGGTGTGATTGGATGTGTGTGTGTGTGTGTGTGTGTGCGTGTTTTAAAAGACTCTAGTTATGCAAAATTTCAGGCTTGATGGTATGAATATCATTATTTTATATTATAAAATACATGCTGAACAGACTTTCTTGTATCCTTAGGGCAGAGAAATAATCATAGTAATTATCTAAAAATAAAACTCACATACCTTTTTTACCATAGTTCCTAGCTGAAATGAATTACTTGCTAACAGAAGTTAATATTTACTTGGCTAGGTACGAAAAGAGTATGGGAAATGCCTGCGAACGCATTGTTGTAGTGGCAAAAGTACAGAGAGTTCCATTGGCTCAGGGAAAACATCTGGTTCTCGAACTCCTGGACGCTACTCCACAGGCTCACAGGTAAGCAATATTTATTAATTAAAATGAAATATCTCTTACCTGTATTCTGTTACGAGTTGTTGGTCTTTCCTGATCCGAACTATTTTCTATCCCAAGTGGTTAACACATCAAATTTGTGTTAATTTGATGTTGTTGTTGTTTTAGTGTGTCTTAAATGGGAATAATTACGACAAATTTAAGAAACTAAATTCAATAATTTTATGGAATTTAGGATCTAAGTTTGCATAATAATTAATGATTTTATGTTATTCATAGTTGAATAAGTATAGAAGGTGAGGAAAGGAATTTGGCACTTCACCCAATATTCTAAGAAAGTAATATTTTATATCTATGATTCTTGAGTTATTACTTCTTTTAACCAGTGTAATAATTCTCTATCACATACTGAAAATATTTACTTATTAAATGGTATTAAATGGTATGTTTAGTAAAAACATTTATAACTCAACCATATTGTGTGCTGATAAGTTGAAGAGTAAGTCAGGGCAGTGAAGAAGAATCCCTGAGAGCATCATTGACTTAACTGGTCTAATTGCTACTCCCATCAGCCCAGCACTAGATGTAGTAGTTGCATCGTCCCTCACCAGGGAAATTGTAAACTTTTAGGTAACATCTGCCATTTTTCCCAAGCCACAGTATCAGTCTAAAGATTATCAGGTAGAAATTTCAGCAACTCCAGAATGCTAAAATGAGCCAGTCAAACAAAAGACATAAGATTATGTGGGTCATGAATGAGTTTGGGTTCAGACTAGCAGACTAATATTTTTAAGATCGTGTGATTCAGTGGGAAAAACAATCATGTATTCAGTGTTGTCAACTGACTTTTTCTGAAGAAGACCTGAATTTAAATTGACAAATAAAGTTATAAATCAAGAACTTAGTTTTTTCTTAACTGTTTTAGCTCAGCCTGTAAATCTAATTATTTTTTGTAAATCTGATTTTATATAGAATAAGAAAGATCATTTCATTTGTTCTTTGATTAATGCTTAATTGTGCTGTTAGCTTAATAGATTAAATTTCCCTAAACAATTCCATTCATATTCTTAGACAATGAAATATCCTTATAAGCTTTAAATAGCATTTACAAATTTAATATTTCTGATTCTCTCAAACACATCCACTGTCAGACTGGACAGTTATACACACTTAACAAGCACTTGAACAGCTCTTATAAACCAAAGATAATGAACAATGTTCTCATAAGCAAACACTTTTCTCAAACTAATGGAATCCTCTTTTATCTTAGAAATAAAACCACATATTTACTATCAATCTAGTCCTTCAAACTGAAAATTTAAAAACTAACATATAACCATTGAACATATCAGACTATTTAAAGCTTAACAACCAAAATTATAATGATTGTGAAACTTATTCATAAATATAATGCACAGTTATTCATAATTTGAATTTAATTTATTTTATTATTTCTATCCCTTACTGAGATTGGAGAGTTGCCAATTAGGGGGAACAGATGTACCAACTCAGATTGGCTGAGATTTCTGAGTTTCGGATTAATAAATTTGCCAGTTAGAAATCTGAAATCTCCCATAAAAGTAGGGGCGCACCTGAATGATGCTTCCAGCATGAGCCCCTTATAATCCATGCCTTCATTTCCAACCTGATAATCCTCACCATCCTTATTTGTAATAAACTTTTCCACAACTTTTAAAATCGCAATTGCTAGGATTCTGTGCATCATCCAGACTTATTAGATCCTGCATGCTTTTCATAATACTGAGCTTATCAGCCATCATCCTGTAGTCATTTTATTAACATATGTCATTAATGAAGCAATAATATTTGGGAGTTTCATTTATTAAGTGACAACAGAGTTGTACAATGTTTAGCAATACTTCTGAGCTACGGGATAGGGCTTCAAGATAGGGAATGATTATGAATAATCATAAACTTGGTCTGTGGGTATACCTTGATTTGGATTCTAGCCTTGCTACAAACCAACTGTGACACAAAACAAGTTACTTAATCTCACTGACCCTCAGTTTTTCATCTGTAAAGTGGTGGTAATAATATTGATTTCTTATATTGCTTGAAAGCTTGAACTAATGTATACAAATACTTAGAACACATGGTAGGTGTTCAATAAATTGGAGCAGCCACCACTTAATGGTGTCATCACTACAAAATTTAATTTCAGATTTTAAAGCTGTATTATATTTTTTCTTCACTTTTATAGTTGTAAGGTCACAATTCTAATCTTGGGGGAAAAAAGCCTTACATTGATTACTTATGCTTAATATGACACTGATTAACTATGACAATCCAATCCTGCATAAAGTGATAGTTCCTTAAATCTAGTGTATTTGTTTAAGTAAAAATAATAAAATGTATTTCACATTAACTGTGACCTTCTATAAACAAGGTCTAAAATACTCACTGATATTAAAGTAAAGTTTAAGGAAAATGGATGCCTTTTTCACATCAGAGAACTTCTAAAATAACAACCCCTATATTTTTTACTTTTATTGAGAAATATTGAGTGTCTCCTATATAATGCCAAGCCATCTTCTAAGCTCTGAGGAGACAATGATTAAAAGACAGATAGCTTCCCCTATGATCTGGGGCTTTCATTCTAGTAGAGGAAGGCAAGACATCTATTACCACGTAAGTCAAGAGAAAATATCAGATTATGAAAGCTGGTAGAGAACCAAATGTGGTGATATGATACAGAAAGTCCAGGTGGCTACTTGGAGTAAGTGCTGGAGAAAGACTGTTTTGGGAGATGACATTTACACCAAAATTCTGAATGACAGGAAGTTCAGAGGAAGAGAATTCCAGGTGAAAAAACGTGTAATACAAAGTCCTTATGTTAAGGGAGAACTTGCAAAGTCAGGAATAGAAAGAATGTGATTGGCTAAAGTGAATGAGAGTGTGAATGGGAGATAAAGTCAAAGGAGAAGGCTAGAGACAGATCCATAGGTATTTGTAAGAGTATGCAAGTCTAGATTTTATTTTGATTACTTTAGAAAGCCAGTGGGATAATTAAGAAAAGGAAGTGGCAGGATATTATCCACATGTAATAAAGATTATATGGCTACTATGTAGATAATGGAGGGACATGATTGGCAAGACTAAAAAGTGAAAATCCTCTCCACCTCTTGCTCCTCTATACTTACTTCCTGGTGCTAATCACTTATAAAAGATTAGTAATACCTATATTCACACAAACATAAATTCACAGAGCTGTGTATAGGGTTGTTGCATGTGTGTGTTTATAAAAACCATGGACTGAAGTATTGTCCTTCCTTCTGTGACCTTCCTTTGATTGTTCTGTCATTTATCTTTCATTTATTTTATTGACTTTTATATGTATTTACTTCTATTATATGGTATTTGAAGCATAAAAAATATATGTAATGTCTATTAAATTGTGAAGCATAGTCATAAAACGAACACCTGAGAACTCAGCATCCATCTTAGGAAATGGAATATTTTCCATGTATTTTCCTCTTCTTCAAACTTTCCCCTAGTCAATCCCTATGCCTCCTCACCAGAGAAAACCTCTGAACTTTTGTTCTTCATTTCCTTGACTTATTCTAATAGTTTCTTCACCTCCAAAAAAAGATATTTAGTATTCTTTTTTTAAACCTTTCTTTAAAATGGTGTCTTATTGGGCTGGCCCTGTGACCTAGTGGTTAAGTTCAGCAAGCTCCGCTTCAGTGGCCCAGGTTCAGTTCCCGAGTGTGGACCTACACCCCTCATTGGCAGCCATGCTGTGGTGGCTACCCACATACAAAATAGAGGAAGATTGGCAGTGGATATTAGCTCAGGGTGAATCATTCTCAGCAAAAAAAAATGGTGTCTTATTGGATGTAGTCTTCTGTGACTTACTTTATGTGCTCCCATATTCTAACGCTCCTCCTGGTTCATTCCATGAACATTTAAGTGTTGGTTCTGTGCCGCATACTATATACTTTTCCTTTGCCTGCAATACTTCACCCTTTCTCCTTTTCCTATTCAACTGTCATTTGATATAGTATAGTGAGTTGTTAACCTTGTAGCTCACTATCCAGATTACTAGATTCAAATATTGGTTATGCCACTTATTAGGTCTGTTACATTGAACATGTTAATCAACCACTGAAACTCAGTTTTCTAATGAATAAAAGAGTACCTACCTCATGGAATACTTGTGAGGTTTCAGTGAATGAATACATGAAAAATACATGGTATAGACTCTAGAACATAGAATTAATAGAGATATTTAAATATTATATTTATATAATATATACTTTATATATATATATAATATTTACCACATACCGGGCATTATTTCAGGTGTGTGATACATCAATGAACAGAAAAGACAAAATTTCTCTTTGTCTAGAGCCTCAAATCCAATGCAGACATTAGACATTAAATATAAGAAATAACTACATAATAATAATATGCCATATTATAGAAGATGGTAATGACTATGGGAGGAAAATAGCTGGGTTGGGTGGGTGGGATACAATTCTGAATAGGGTGATTAAGTTAGATTTCTTTAAGGAGAAAATATATGAGCAAAAATTTAAAGAGATGAAGGAGTTATCCATACCTGTATCTGGGGGAAGAGCACTCCAGGCACACGAAACAATTGTACCGAGTCTAAGGCAGAGGCATGCTTGGCATGTTAAGGAATAGCAAGGGAGCAGGTGTGGCTAGCCCAGATAGGGGAGACTAATAGAACATGAGATAATGAGGGCAGCTCATATAAATGTCACCTATCAACAATCATAATTCCACCAACTCTCAGTTAAGATGTTGCTTCTTCAGTGTAGTGTTCTCAGACTTCCTAGACAAGGACATGTCCCCTTATTATGTGCACTTAAAAACATTCTTTTAAATTACATAGTATAACAAACAATAACAAAAGTACACAAAATATAGTGTATGACACAGTGATTTAACATCCCTCCTCAGGTCAAATATTAGAATATTGGGAGTATCTTAGAAACCCTTTGAACTTTCCTCAATGCTTCATCTTGAAACATAACCACTATGGGGGCCGGCCCACTGGTGCAGCAGTTAAGTTCACACGTTCCGCTCTGGCAGCCCGGGGTTCGCAGGTTAGGATCCCAGGTGCAGACCTAGCAGCGCTTGTCGATCCATGCTGTGGCAGGCATCCCACGCATAAAACAGGGGAAGCTGGGCACAGATGTTAGCTCAGGGCTAGTCTTCCTCAAAAAAAACAAAAACAAACAAAAAGACATAACCACTATATTAGCTTTTAACAGTAGATTTTGTTTTGTATGTGTTTGATACTTATTCACATGAAATCATCTAGGACATATTCTTTTGTTTTCTTTCTTTCCTCGGACATCTATGTTGCTTTTTAATTTTCAGTGCTATACATTACTCTATAATTTATTCATCCATTCTACCATTGATAGCCATTTTGGTTGTTCATAGTTTTCAGCTATAATAATTAATGCTTCTATGGACATTTGTAGGCACTTTGTTGTACTTTTGCATTCATTTTTGTGATAATTTGATTAATCTGTCACTTACTAGTCTGGCAGCTCCATGCAGGCAGATGTTTTTGTGTTAGCCTTTCTCTTTTGTATTTGCTAGGTTAGTATTTGGCTTCAGTAGAGGCTAATTAATATTTTTAGTTAATTAATTAATTAACAAATACAACAAGTGTGAGAGATTTGTCCCCAGCATTTCAGTTTGAAGTTTTGAAGTATTTCTCAATAGAAACATTCCTCCAATGCTCAGGAGCTATAATCCTGCACCAGTCTTCCTACTGTCCTTTTGTTTATGGGTTGTGCTGTGTGTGTGTGCATGCGTTTTGCTGACCTATATAACAATATAGACAATATTTCTGAAGGATAAACATGTCCCAAGATTCATAAAACCAATTGTCTAATATTTTAGGGTTAGCTACTCCTATTATTTAAGGGGTTAGAACAGATTTGGAACCACATGACCCATTTGTGAGCTTGGTTTCACCATTAGCAGTAGTAACAGTTCTTATAACTATGTTGTTCTTCTGAAAAGATTTCGTTTCTTCCTCCCGAGATTAACACTTTTTTGATCCCTAATTCAATAAAATAGCAAAACAGAATAAACCAGAAAAAAAAAATCTCCCCCAAAAGGAAAACTATTACCATTTTCTTGAATTATCTACCACTTAGAAAATTGAATTTGAGAATATGAACAATGATGTAAGAACTTTCAGTTCGCTATAAAACTTTCTACCATGAAGCCATGAATAAAAGGTGAATCAACTTCCCTTCAAAAAAAGAAAAGTCAAGATAGTATGTAACCTATAAAATTATGTTGATCTTCTTACAAAATTTATGGAAAACATTAAGTTCAGTAGCATTTTAATAACATTCTATGTTCTTTTCTTACCAAACTCTTTTTTGCAAGATTCTGAATTCTTAAAGTAAATTTTTTGTTAATAAAACTGACAATTGAATGCATGTTTAAATATCTCATCCCCATAAAAGTTCAATGAAAATAATTTGTTTTACCTTGGAAACTAAAATTATTAAATTCGAACTGTCTAGAGTATACTTCTATATGTCTTCAATGTGTTTAAATTAGTATAGTACATTACATTTATTCCTTTTTCATAGTTATAATTATTTTTGGTATAGACATTTAGGAATACACTTAATGGGAATGAATTGTTATCATTAATTTAGTTTCTAATGTTCTCATACTCCTGTACTGCAAGCATGTAGAAATTGTATATTCACCAGATGCCAGAAACAAAGGTCCCATATAACTATGACAGAAAGAAAAAGAATGATTTGTGTGAAAATCCACTGCCTGGTGAGTTCATTTCCTTTTTTCCTTTGCTGCCTTTCAGAGCCGAATTCGTAGAATGTGGAATGACACAGTCCGAAAGCAGTCAGAGTCTTCCTTCATTACTGGAGATATAAACAGTTCGGCGTCACTCAACAGAGGTAATTAGGAATGATTTTTCATATTTATTACTTTTGTGATTACTCTGAGAAGTTCTTAAATGCATTGCTTTATTTGCAACTTCTGGACCTTGTTCCATGTGGTAGGAATATCGCAAGGATATAAAACCTGGTTGAGTGTAGCAGTGTGTTCCATTATTCATAAGTCTTTTTTTTTTTAATCCTGAATTTTCAGGAAATCGTTTCTGAAAGGAAGTTAGAAAACGAGAACTTTCTTTTTCTAGTCTTCTGCCACTGCTATAAACTGGTGAGCTGTCAGGCCTCATTGGAAGCAGTGAAAATGGGCAATTATGTGGCTATATAGTCTGCTAAGCATCATAGAGTTCCACATTGTCCCAGGAATAGAGCAATTTCATAGTCTTTGTGGAAGTAAAGATATTCCATCTAGTACATACTTAAGGCAACCTGTGTATTTGGGGAAAAAAAATCACATCTAATCTTAATATCTAAAAGACTTATCCAGATAATATTGAATATTTAAAGATCTAGGAGGAAAAAATACCTTATATATATGTTATGATTTTTTTGTGTGTATGTGCTTCCGGTTAAAATGTTCCTAGGGCATCGTTTAGATTTTTGAAACGAAATTCCTTTAATCTACTGTTTTATTTGTGGTTGATTTTTTTATTCTTCTCTCTCTCTCTCACACACACACACACATACACACACTGTGTGATGTGATTAAATTGACTGCAGTAAAAATGAGCAGATGCGACATTTGTGGAGAGCTACAGTACACCACAGTCAGTGCTGGGAAATATAGAGCATGTAGTTTTATCTGGGAAGGTGGCATTTGTATGAGCTTATTCCAATCCCACTGTCCCAAGAGACATTTTTGATGCATATATTCAGTAGTTATTTTTATGATCAGAATTGTTGTTTTTTTCTTACCCCCAAACTACGATTATTAGTTATTTTAAACCTGTTTATGTCGGCTTTTTAATACATTAAATGCTACTTAGAAACAAGTAATTTAATAATTGCAGCTTATGATTAAGAAAGATTCAGATACTGGTGCTCTTAATTACTTTTACTCAAGTAAGATGCATCTTATTTGTATAAAAGAAGCTCAGACAAGTAGTGTCCAAGTTAAATTTGATATGGGGATCCATTTACATATAATCTTAATTGACTTTCATATGTTATTTGGAGCAGTGATAGAGTAACTGTAACCTAAAGATATTAAATTTTCTACATAACTTTTGCTTAAGTAAGAACAGCAAGTGCAAATATTCCTCCAAATATGAAGAAAATACATTAAAATAAAACAATTACCTTCTTGTATTTGCTTCATTATTAGTCTGTTTTTATTTGCTAGAGTATATTGATTTACATAATATCACTCAAGTATTCTTCTCTTTTTAAGTTTAGTTTTAATGGTTATTTTGTGAAAATTTACTTAAATATGAATTCTCTAACATTTTGACATACTTTCCAAATCATGGAGAATGAAATACTTACAAATGCCTCCAAAGCTTAGGAAGTAATTTGCTTCCATTTTCTTTACTCTTTAAATAATCCCGTACATAGAAAATTTACAGTATGTTCCTAGAAAGAAAACTATCCTTATTAATGGGGTTTATTGTTAGAAGTATCTTGCATCTAGTGATCACAGCAACCATAGAATAATTGTTGTTTAAACAAAAGATGAGATAATATGATTGTAATAATGCACTGTTTATTTGCTTACTGTGAAGATGGATAAAATATGTACATTTGTCATTTTGTGTAGCATTATGATCTAAATTTATGTAAAGATAGTAAGATATGTAACTTTTGTAAAAACTGTTTTAAATGGATAATTTGTTATCACCTTGATTTTACGGTCAATCACATAACATAATGTGCCCTTTTTAGTTTCTTCTCACGAACTTCATCAACTTGGAATATGCAATATGTGGATGACTAGGTCAATTTGAAATGTATTTAAAGAAAATAATAATATTTTATATTGACTGATCATATATTTAAATCTGTTTTTAAAATCTTTAGTTTTAAAAGATGTTTCTTAAAGTTACTGAAGAAAGGGTGCAAAATTTCTTGTGACATCCAATAACTTATTTTAATGATGACTTTGCGGAGGGGGTTAAATTGAATTTATGGTATGAAATGTGCCCAGGCAGTGATCTTTTCCTTTAGGATATATATTCTTCCTTTCACTCAGTGGCTTTAGTGGTGATGGACATCATAGTGATCTTCTTGATTTCCTATATTAATTTTCTGGTGTCCCAAATCAGAAACTCCACATTTTATTCTCATCTCATTATTTTTTATCTTAAATGAGTGGAGTACTTTAAAATTTTATTTCTTCATATTATATCTCTCAGGATAGTCTTTAACCTCCTTCTTTAATCTTGTCTTATTTCCCAGGGTCCTATCTTCCCTGCATTCAGGCGTGTGTATCATATTTAGGTAGGTGGCATCCAAGATTCACCTTTCCAGATAAATACTTCAGTCACCTCAGCAACATATTCACCTCTGTTTATCAAAAGATTATATTCTCTATTATTGAAATAAAAATTTCAGGCACTGCATCTTCACATCTTCATGTATTCTATCTTCCCATTCATTCTTAGTTTCTTATAGCAAGCAATTTTTTTTAAATTCCAACTCCATTTTCCTTTCTTTCTAAGTTAGATACATTAAATCTCTAATTTTTGTCTTTAGAAAAGTTCTGGCCCTTGAAAACTACAAAAAATTGTCTAAGTTAGTCCTATTTTCACTTGAGGTTTTCTATTCTATTCATACCACTGCCCAAATCATGAAAAGAAGAATTATTTTAAAATTCTGTATGTCTTATCATCTGTAAGTTCTCAGCGCAGAACCTCTTCTCAACGGTTTTTATTTTTTCAAATCATCTCTATTATTCCGTTCTTGAACCAACTCGTTACATCCTATGTATCAGATTACCTGTTTAGATCTCCCAATCTGATAAGCTTGGGATTTTGCTCCTTGGAACCATGCAAGACCTTGAAAGATTTATTGATAATTTTCGATTTGTGTAATCATTCTTATATATTCTCTTTGGGATTTTGTTGTTTGATCACCTCATCTTTTTAAAGCCTTCCATTACATTTGTCTTTTGAATATATTTATGAAGATGTGTCCCAAATGTTTCCTATACATTTTCAAATATATTTCACCTGCCCACTTATTTACTACAATGGTACTCACTGTCGCAAGTCCAAAATTCCTTGAGGCCAGTACTCCAGGACTATTGTCAAGTTAACTTCACTGATCCCACTATAGACACAGGTAGAAGGAGCCTTTCCAGAGCCCTAAGGTGATGGTTGATTACAGAGAGTTTCAAGCAAGGTTAACTCTGATACAAACCCAAGTTTTCCCGAACTCCACAGGAGAGATTATTCATTGGTACTAAATATTTGCTATTTGCACATATCTTGAAGTCAGTCCTCAATCCCTGAGCTCCTCCCAGGCCTATTGGAAGTCTAGTCCAAATTTCTGGTAGCTTCAACTTCCTGGTAATGGGAGAAATGATTTTTTGCTAGATCTACCTTTCCTACCTATATCTCCTACTCACAGTCTCTGCTGGCCAAACCCCATCCTGAACGATTTAGATTAATGAGGCTTCTAAACCTTGAGTTTGATCCAAAATTGAAGGCATTTGCTGAGAAATTTCCCGGTAGTTCAATTAATTGTTAAACGTTTCTGTTCTTTTTTGTAGATCTGGATAGAAATTGGGATACTTTCTGAAACTAGGTTTTATTAGGCTTTATCTCTTTGTTAATAATATAACTGTATTTCCCATTTTCTTTTGACTTGATTAGTTGAATTGACACCAGAAATTTCAGTTTCAAGCAAGTTTTACTAGGTAGCTGCTACTAATATGGTATCATTGTGTCAATTACAAAAAGGTGCCCCACCTCCTGCCAAACCCCACCTGTGGAGTTATTGCAAAAATGTGTCCCATGTGAGTGGCAGAATTAGCAATAATGCATTTCTTCTTCTGGAACAATGGCTTGGTTCAAATCGTGGGGTTTTATTTTCCCCTACCTCCCATCCCCCATCCCGTCAACTTCCCACACAGGTTAATGCGATTTAGATTTTTATACATGGAGATCTGACCAGTAAAGCTATATTTATTTAAGCCAAATTTAAGTGTTATATGTCAGAAGGCTGTCTGACCTGTAGAGGTGTAGCACTAATTTATTAATGCAGATGGATTGTCCTTTCAAGGTTCAGGTTTGTACTAATCTACAAATGCATTCTCAGTAAATTTATGTCATCAGTAAAATTATGATGGCCTATGGCAATCTTTGCATAAATTTAAGGGTTTAATGTTTGATCTCAGTGGCACAACTACCTACTGAAAGGTGCCTTCACCTTTTAGGATCATTGTTGATACAAAGGAGAAAGCCACCGTCAATGGGTATTTGCAAGTCACTGACTTACTCACTGCAGTTTTGCACGATAGTTTTTGGAATGGAGTTTTAACCCAGTGACTTTTGGTAAATTGCTTGGCTTCTCAGCGTCTGTGCAATAGGGATATAAATAGTACCCACCTCAGAGAGACCTTGAGAGGACTGAGTTAATATATGTTAATTGCTTACAACAGTGCCTGAAACATAATAAGTCCTATTATTATTATTTTATTCAGAAGTTCGTTTATGTTTTCTAACAAATGAAGACTAGTCCTTGCCATAGCTCTCAAGTAATCAGATATTAAAATCCATCATTCACAACCGACAGCTTTCTTTCCTTTTTATTTTCTGGTAATGGGGGGAGGAATGAGGTGGTTACCCAAATGTCAAGTAAAAGAAATAATAATTTACCGCAGATGGTGCTACCCTTGAAGCTAACAAAAAGAAGTAAACTAATAAAGCTGAATTGTCTCTTCTAAATTAGAAATTAAATGCAAATTACATTGGCCTAGTTGTGCTTTCCACTTTTGATTTGTAACCATCTTTTAGAATCCAAGAAATAAAGGTAAAGTATTTCTCCTCCCTACGTTAGATAATAAT